AACAGACAAAAATCAATAAGATTTTTAATTGGGGGAGGGGGAGAGCTTGTTTTGTTTTCATTAACAAATGGGAAAGTTAAATTTGAAAGCTTCACACTTACTTCCCACCAGATTAGCAAGTGAAGAATCGAGGTCATTTGCCAAAATTTTTCCACTTTGCTGGTTGGCTGAAGTGGCTCTTTGACTTTGTGGTGGTACTGTGGGTTGCAATACCTCATCTAGAAAGTTAAAAGCTAAACAAAGAACATAAAAGCAACTGTTAACAAAATATTGCATTTAATACAACACATCCATAAGCCAGGGAAGCATTTTCTTTTTAGAACACTAAGTAGGTTTGAGTATTTATATGTGGAGGTTCAACATGCTGGAAGACTAAGACAGAAATGTAGTTTAACCTCTAATTTTTTTTATGGAATACTACATTGTAGCTACTAATCTGGTAAAATCTTTAATTTTACATCAGCAGTAACTGATGGTATTTTTAAATTAAGATGAATCTCCCCTAAAAATGAAGAGGAAATACGGTAATTAAAGATAGTTTCAAAGTGTTCCTGTAACACAATACAGCAGTAATTTCATGATATTGCTCATATCCTGAACATACACAAGAATGCCTTTGCTGTACGTTCATAGAAACTTTGAATATATAGCACCAATCAAGTGAAAGACTAACTCAGCTATTCTTCAAGCAACACATACAGACAGATAGTTTTGCATTTTTATAAGTACAGTGCCTCTCAGTGAAGTTAGAGGGAACTCATTATCATGGATCAAGAGAATACACTGAAGTCATAAGTACTGGAAACAGATTAACATGAGCTTACCCGTTAAGAGTTATCCAGCAGGCCACGTTCAAAGTTCATTCCCCCAAAAAGAGAGGAAATAAAGTTATTACACAGTATATGAGATTAGCCAAAGCTAATTTTAAAGCAAATAACTACAACTGAACTGATTGCCTGTTATCTTATCAGCCCTATAATCAGCTTGCAAATGTATTACATTATTAACTTTTGAACTGCAACAGTAATTATGCTAAATTATTAAGCAACTGTTGCCTGTGGGCTGTAAATTAGTCATAAACTAGTTTTTACCACTTGCAGTCCTGTACTCTGGTGCTGTAGATTTTCCTCCAAAAACAGCATCAAAGTCCACATTAATTGTTGAAGAGGTGGTATTTGAAGGAGCTGAATGAAGAGGAAAACCTGAAAAAAACAAGTTTTTTGCAATCAAATGCACCCATGGAGTAATACCACTCATTACAGTGAAATCATCAAGTTTTTTTAAAAAATTAAAAAAACACAAATTACCATCAACAGTCAGAGGATGATAGACAGAAGGATACGCAGGTTTATGACTGCTAAAGTCATCTTTGTAAAAAGAGAGAAGAAAATAAGATCAGTTTAAAAGAGAAAAAGGAAGAGATGACACAAAAAGTTAAAGTCTGCAGTTAAAAACTAAGAATTTTTAGTAATAAAAAAGGCCATTTACATTTAGCAAATTTGAAAAGCTCAAGCAACTCTTGCATTCCCCATTCCAGAAGAGAAAGGAGGCTGCAGTTTGAAAGAAATCAGCAAAAATTCCAGCAACATTGCAATTCTTAGGATGTCTACGTTGGGCAGGCTGAACAAAATAATTTCAATTGTAGACATAAAACTTTAAGGAAACATATTATTTACTACATCTGGAATTAATGCATCATTTTAATTTGCTAATAAAAAGAGAAGATTGGTCCAAACCACAAAAAATTACACAGCCCAATTTATTAGCATTATCATTTCCAGTTGCAAGTTATATGGGTTTTGTTTGTTTGTTTGTTTTACCACTAAAGAGTTCCACTGTTTGTTTGGAGGAAAAAGTAGAATTGATGAAAGGGGTGGCAGATTTTACAGCTTCTTCAACTGGCTTCATGTCAAAGATGTCCAGATGAGGTGGAGAACCAACACAACCATTTGAGGACGAGAAAGGACCTTTCAGAGGCAGAAGTGAAAGGAAGAACAGAGAGTACAAATAATGGAAAAGAAAAACAGACTGAAATGATTGCATAAGAGAATCTCTAGACAAAGTGAAACTGTAAATATTCCACCCAGTGATCAGCCCATTAAAGACACAAATTCTTAGATTCAAATAAAAATCCTAACAGCTTTCTTTGCTTAGGGAAACATAATTCTAGCATTGCCACTGAGTGGGAAGGGGAGAATGACAGAACATTTATAAATCCGAAAAGTTAGATACTACATTTTTGGCTTCTAGAATCTACCTTTTAAATAGCACATAAAGGTATCAATTCCACCTGTTAAATACCAGCAGTTACAATGGTGTTACCACTGCCTTATTTCAGCATTTAAGACATCTCTGACACGTATCCTGATTATTCTTTGGAGGGATGGGTGAAGGTACAGAAAATGCTGTGCCCAAAAAACTGGGAACAATAGAGTTGTTCTAAGAACTCTGAAGTCACCAACACCTTTTCAATGAACAGTATATTAAATATCACTTAATGGAATGGAAATACTAGTCCAGCATCTTTTCAGTTACACCTGCTTAGCTTATATTTCCCAGCATTTTTAAACTCTGATTCGTAGTTACATTTCTTCTACCTGCCCCCTTTATTGAAGAACTCCTTGATTCTACCTACTGCACATTGACACTACTGCCATGTGTGTTAAAAGAAGTAGTTTTTCTCTAAAAGTTTGCCAGAGCTTTCAGATGACTTATTTTATATTCTGTCAGGATAGAAATGTTTGGATGCAAAGCAATTAAGGTTTAAGATACAAATTCAATTAAGTACGCAACTGTATTTTATTCTTGTAGTCTAAGAATTCACCTATCATTTAGACAGTCACATCATCCTGTCAGCTTACCTCCCCAAGCACTGTTTGCTGATGTCGATATAGCTGGAGTACTCTGCACAGTAGGAACAAATGCAGGCTGAAGATCAAAAAGATCACTAGAAAGGTTGGGCATGCTGAATAAGAAAAGAAAGAAACATGAATACATGTAACAGGCATTGTATTCTTGTGTTATACACACACTCACATCAATCTCACTTTCTACTGTTCACTAGTAGCCTATTAATAATAATGGCACAACACAAGACTAGTAATTAAGCACTTCTTACTGACTGATACCAAAATTCCTGGGAATATACCAGGAAAGCATCAGCAAAATGTTCTTTTTGAAAAGTACTAGAGAAGTAACTAGGATCAGTGCTTTGCAGTTGATTGTGGAGCTACAGGCCAATGCAGTAATTTCTGCTTGCTTCAGAAAGCAAAGTATCTCTCACCTGTTTGTTGTGGGTGCCGGTACTGCAAAGAGGTCAACAGCTACAGTGGTATTTACACTTTTTCCTGATAAGGTGCTTGGGGATGCGGAGGTGGAAGTGGAATTCGATACTACAGAAATCTCTCTTAATCGTTGCTCCTGAAAAATGAGATAGACAGTTTGCATTTTAGTTTTATTAATTTATTTACTCTTCCTGAAGGCCCCAAACAACTTTTCCAAGAAGACATTTTAATTATGATCTTAATAAATAAAACAGTTATTCATCTATAAAGTCCTCAAAACAGAAATATGATTGAAATCAGAGATAAGAGTATTTTGTTTTTAACAAACCTTCAAAAATCAAGGTAGGACTTGAGGTTTTAAATATTAAAAAAAAAAGGATCTACAAATGCCTAGAAGTAAAACATATTCTAGGTTCCCTTCACAGTCACTCAGAAAAACAAAGTCAGTGGATCTTTGTCCAGGAAGACCCATCTTTCTCTCCCGTTAGGATCTCTTCATAGTTCAATTCAGATGTTCCTAAGTCAGACTGACAATGTGCATCCTAATAACATCCATGTGGTGCTGCTCTTAAATTAGCTAAATAAAAATCTCGTTTATGTTGTTACTTATAGGTTTACATTCCTCATTACTTCTAGATAAGCCCCCTGCATTTATACAGCACAGGTCAAAGCACAGGTGTATGTTTTACACAGCTTACATTCCTCAAGTAAAGCATTGAGTGAGCTTGCAAGCTTCCTCGCCCCTCAAATGAAAATTTGTATGAACTGATTTAATTATTCTGTTACTGCAGCTACAAGTCCTATTACAGTAGAAGTGGGACAGTGAAGAGGGGAGACTTCTGATGCAACTCCTGAAAACAAACAAAATCCAACCAAAAAAATCAAACAACATCAACACAACACTTGCTGAGATTCAAGTGAAGCAGTTCAGCAGCAGGCAGCAAGGCACACTAAGATTTTAATCAAACAGCAAAGACCTGCTTCACGTTGATTTGAAAAAAACATGCCTTACACCAAGCCAGGAAAGTGGAGAATCTTCAATAGACCTCTAACTCTGAGATGAAACTCAACTCTGCATTACTGTCAAAGTTTACTTTCACACTCCAAATAGTTTTAAGGCTCTAATAATGTGGCCTCCAGATGATGTGAGCAGAGTTGCTTTATTGTATAGGTGTGTCTAGAGATGTTAACACGAGAAAAATTCCTCAACTTGTGTGTGCCCGGGATCTAACAGAACTACAGATGTGGCTTTAGTGCACCTTGCCTTGTTCAAGATTTTATACTGTGTATGTTCTCAGGAAAGTGTTACAAATGGGTTAAAAGGGCCTGAAGGACCAGGATTCAGGCCTTAAGAGAGGGATGTTACCAAGAGGACTACTCAACAAGTACCAATGAGCAAAGGAACCAAGAGAACACACTGATTTTCTCACAAAGGTGTTATTATTCAAAGTCCATAAATTATACCTAAATACATACGATTTCAAATAGTTTTTCAAACTAAATTATAGAATTATAAATAAGAGCAGTTAAGTGTGGACAGAACTGCAGTGTATATTCTCATTATGAGCAACATGACTGAAGAATCACATTAAAGGCATATTCCATACATCATGGGGAAAAATAATTCCCTCCTACCAATAGCCTCTTACAACTGCAATACTGTATGTTCAGCTGCTTGAGATGTAACCTAGAAATGTTGTATGGCCATTTTGTGAATCTTTGAGATAAATAACAATCTCTTGTAAGGAAGAATGTAAATTTTATTTACATCAACTGTCTGCTATTCAAATCAAACTCCCGGTAGAAGGGTCACAACATATTGTCAGCCATCACATCTGCATCCTACAGAATCATGCCTTGGCCTTTCTTAAGAGGAGGGTTCCCTCACCATACACTACTTTAAGCCAACCCTGGTTTTCACCTGTATCCAGTAAAAAAACCCCAAAACCAAACAACTCAGAATACAAATTTGAAAAAAAAAAAAAAAAAAAAAAGGTACCTTAAGTGCCTGCAGTCTAGCTTGTTCCTCCTCCAATGCTTGCTGCTTTTCTTTCTCATCCATCCTACTAAAGGACATTCCTGTATTGGCAAGTGTGGAAACAGCACTGGATAGGGCATGAGCTCTAAAAACAGTAATAATTTTAAAACGCTTTATTAAGAAAAAGAGTCAGATAGATATCACTTATAGTTTAATCATCAAGTGCCTTATCTAGTCGTGTGCCATTCCCCCTCCTCTACAGTCTTTTCTTCCCTCACTCTCTGGTACAGAAAAGCAGATACCCCAATAATGAGGGAGTGGGGTGAAAAAGCAACATGAGTATGCAGGATTACTCCCTCAAGTTTCAGTGGGTAGGAACTGGAAAGTGCAGAACACACCACTTGTCTTTTTTCTTTAAAGTCATATAGACTAGAATTCCGTTCCATTGAAGTGGCAGAGGCACAGAAAGCTTGTTTGTACGTATTATACATGTAACAGGAACAAAGCACAGAAGTTATTCCTCACATAGTATACTCTTTTGCAAAAGAAAAAAGAATAAAAAAAAAATCTGAGGAGCAAGACAGCAAGTCAGGAATGTAGCTTACACTGATGCATTTATCAGTATTTACCAAGTTTCTGGGGAAGAATGCCTATACCAAAAGAGATCTCACTTCAGCCAGAAGTACCATTCTTACATATTGATACCATACTTGACAGAAAGAACAGCACAATTCCTGTTAGCACAAAGCATCTCAGTTAATTCAGCTGTTCTGAAAAAAGACTGAAGCACTTTTACAAGCAGGTTAAGATAAATTCAGCCTGAGAGGTAGACAACTGACAACAAATACTGTCTTCTCTTGGGTAAAAAGAGCCTCAAAACCCAAATACCTTAGAAGTCTTATAAGCCAAAGAACTTCAAACAAGTGAAAGTTAAAAAGAATAATATACAAGGCCACAGCTCAGTGGTTTATTACAGCACAGCAAGAAGTTTGTCAGAGACACAGGCAGACATACCTAGATTTCAAACGTGACTCACCTACCAGACTATTACTCACTAGATGCTTCATTTATACTTCTAGGAAGATATATTTGGAAGTGAAAAAAATTCAAGGAGAACATCAAATGACCCAATCCTGAAAATTCTTAGTGTGAAGATGACAAATCCTAAATATAGGCATTGTTGTCATTCATTGGGTGCTTACCTGCTGGCAGCAGAAACTTCTTTTGTTTTCTTTCCCTCCACAGAAGCTAAATGCTGCTCCAGTGCTTCAAGCAAGCTGCTGGGTGCCTATAGTTAAAAGTATTTATAAAACATTGCTTCTAGAAACACATCATTGTTTAGTACACAGATTAGTTTCCTTATCCACTAAAAACAAACAACAACTTACATATCAGTAATTGTGCCTTTGGGTTTGGCTGCCATCCTGCACACCTGGATTTAATCTACCCAGTGTGGCTCTGTAAAGGATTGGCAGCACAGAGACACGAAGTAAGGATCCCCCCAGAGCAGGTCTGCTCCTGTGTACAGAAGCTGCATTCTTGTTTTTGGCAACAGTATTCACTATGTTAAGATTAATCCAATAATCACAGCTGATGAAGCAGTACGCCCTTAAACTGTCAGAAGTACCACAGTGAAACCTTTGCATTTTTTACCATCTTTCCCCCGTAACAACAAAAAGCCAATCACTTTCCATTCAAATATTTACAGTCAAAGGTTTGCGTTAGAAACACTTGACTACAGCAGAATGTTAGGTTTTATTAAAAAAAACAATGAAATTCAACCTGATCCCAACAACACTACTGCAGACTGAGTAGCTATTCAACACATGACTACATAATAAACCAACTCAATTACTCCAAAGCCTTCAGTAGCCTAAAACATTTAAAAACTAGCAACACGACTTCAAATAAGGTTGTTTTTGGTGATTTCCCCCACCCCCCAGGAAGAACGTTACCCATGAGGAGTTTTCAACATTAAGCCGTTTTTTAAAGCAATGAAGAAAATCTATAAAATAAACCCCAAACAACCCAGCTTCTCACCACTTAAATCCAGCAGGAAGTCAGGTACTAGACACCTCAGCTAACACCTGAGACACCTAAATGAGTTTTAGGTGACCAATACTCATGAGTTTACCGAGACATTTGAGAGCACAGCCATGATATTTTTCAGTACTCAAGAGAAAGATTTTAACTAATAGGTAACAGAAAGGAGAAAGTTTAAAATACACAGACTAAGGCACATCAGAGCTGCTTTGGTTCCTACAGAAAACAAGAAAAAAGTGCCAATCATAACCTGCCTTTGTTCTGACATCCACTACAGAAATATTTCTTCCATACTAAAGGAAACAGCTTCAAAGCTCAGAATGAATTTGAACTCATCCTGATCACACAATCTTAGTAGGAAGTAAGATTTCTCCAAACCACCCTATAAAAAACAACCTCCAAGTGAAATAAATCCTACTACAGACTTAGATGAACGGAACAGACCTCTAAAGTTTTAATCTACTTGCCAGCTCAGTCCTCCTCATCTGGCAGTGTTTCAGAGACATTAAGCCTCTCTTACCATGTACCAGCTTTCTGTAGGTAGAACAGATATGATAGGCACTGTTTGGAATCAGAACAAGCTTGCCCTTGCTAGCCCTTCTGCACCAAAAGCTAGACCAACCTATTTCCTGGAAAGGGGAAAAATATTAAAACACACAAGGCTTTGGCAAGTTCCCCTCTGAAATATAGAGCACAATTCTAGCTTCCCACATTCAATGAAGGCAAAATCAGGCTCCAAGAGATGCAAAGAAAAGCAATTAGAATAATCACATAAAACTGCTCAGCTTAAAGTTAAGGGCTGAGTTGGTATTTCTCTCTATAAATACAGCCAGGTAAGCTAAGACAGTGTAGTTACCACAAGAACTGGTCATGAATAAATTCAGCATTCAAGCTGGACAGCTAAACCCCAAGAGGGAACATTTTTAAATACTTTTTGGGAAAGGTATCAGAGATGAAAAAACCAAACCAAAAAACCCCATACTTGTACCTTTCAGGAGGAACAACAGTTTGCAAAAGGCATTGCATGACACAGCTAGACAGATAATCTTAATACTCTAATTCTACAAAGTTCTTCCTAGTCTTCAATTTTTTTCTCCCCCTCAAGGCCACTCTAAAACTTAACTGTATGGAAAAGTATATTCTATACTTACTGTTTCTAAAGCCCTCTAAACAATCCCCTCAACCATAAAAGCTAAACCCAACAAACCAGTAACTACTCTGAACTTTCTCATTGCTGCAGACATCCAACAAAACATCAGAGATGAAATTTTGAGTGAAAAGATCTTAGTAATTTTGTCAGAAAAGATGCCTGGGCTAATACAGACATTTTGACTCGAAAAAGGCTGTATTTTATGACTCAGCCTCCCTCCCCCCACTCAGACATCTGACAGACTAAGATCCATACAGAGGAAAATGACCCAGTTGCATTAATGAAATACAGTAACAGCTACAAACAGAAAGTAACAGCATTGTGAAACAGGGCACCTACAAAGGACAGTATCTGCTTTACAGGAACTGGCAAAAGTGGCAGTAGTGTGAACATTAGAAT